GTTTCATTGTTGGAAATGTTCTCTCCATAGTAGTTGTTGAAACGAGTAAGATCAACACTAGACAAATTTTTCCTGGGGATTGTAAGAATTTTTTGAGTTCTGAAAGAGAAGGGTAAGATTAGTTTAGAGGTTTTTTTTTTATTTCAATGAATTTTTAGGTTTCAGTGTTTCCAAATGAAAATCGTTGGAGTTAGAATTTGTAGGCTAAGCTTGGAGTAGTGGTTTGGATATTCTTATCCAGACCATTTTCGTAGTTACTCAAAGTCTATTTATCAAATAATATTGGAACGAATTTTAAAGGAATTTTTCCAGAAATACCACAAACAAATAAAAAATTCCGAAAACACAACCCATATCCGGAAAATTCCAAAAATCACTTGTTGGGGACGCAGTTTGTTATGAAAACCGCATCTGTCCGAGGCGTTTTACTTGAACGCATGGGGTCGGGCTGGTTTTGATGCAAACTGCCGCCCCCCTTTGCGGTTTGGGTTGAATTGTTTTTCTTCGATCAACGCCTAACTTAAGCCGAAACTTCAAACGAACGTAACTTTGTGCTCGGGTATCCGATCGTAATTTTTATTCCACATAACTTTTGCGGCTTGCAAGATCTCGAAAAGTTATACGGAATAAAAAAAACCCGCTACAATCGGATACCCGAGCACAAAGTTACGTCCGTTTGAACTTTCGACTTTCGTTAGGCGTTGATAAAAAAAGTCAACCCAAACCGCAAGGGGGGAAGCAGTTTTGGACCAAACCGCCCCGACCCTATGCTATCAATAAAATCTCCCCCAACCCATGCGATTTTTAGCGAAAATCGCGCCCTCATCCAACTGTTTGAGAAATGTGGTATTTTTGGAATTTTTTGGAAATGGGTGGTATTTTTGGTGTTTTTGTTCTTTTTAGTGGTATTTCTGAAAAAAATCCACTTTTAAATAGCACTGGACCGAATATCTAAAATCGAAATAATCATGAGTACTATACTAGCTTTGGACCCAAAGATGAGATGGGCAGTGGTCCGGAGAGTCCCTCCCTGAAATTCGCCACTGCCCACTAGGCACTCTATGTCCTCGTTAGGAGTGGGCATTGGGTGGGGCGAGTGGATTTTACCATAAAATGGACGCACCCGCGTTTAAACGGATTGACAATTTTTAACCCACCACCCACCCACATTTAGTCTCGGGTTGGGTCGGGTGAATGGCGGATGATGCAGGTGGGTTTGCGGGTTCACCCACATCACATTGTACATAATATAAAAGAGTCAACTTGACATGATCCATTTATATTTTAGAACCCTTGTGTAATGTCAATATGTAAAATAAAAATTCATTTCAACCAATGCAGTCAAAAGCGCGATTCTAACTAAAAGCGGAAAAGGGGTAAAATCGTAAAACGTAGAATCAAAACGTAAAAGCGTAAATTTTTTACGCATATTGTAAAATAACTAAAAATGTGTTAAGTACGACATATACTATGTAAAATGTGAGTGCACGGAATTTAGATAAGTTAATAGATACTTGCAATTCTTGTCTAAAGTAGAGCAACCCATAGTATCATAACAATAAGTCATAAACATGGATCTTAACAATAAGCCACCTTCCCTTCTATGCTAATGAATTTGGGAAGGGCCTAGCTGCTGAATTAGATTACTTTATTGAAGCTGAGAATGCATCCAAGTACCTGATATGTATCTTTTAATCTCAAATGTATCATATTGTTGGTAATTTACCCTTAAAATATACTTTTTATAATTAATTTCATGAAAAAAATACCCATTTAGTGAACTAAAAGTTTAAAATCGTAAAGCTTTTTGGTACGCTTTTAAGCTTTAAAACGCAATTTATACGATTTTATGCACTAAAGTTTTTATATGGAAACTGATGCAATATCGACTTGCACAATATTTAATGCCCGCGATCCAAAAATTCAGATTCAGATTCAGATTCAAATTCAAATTCAAATTCAAATTCGACGATTTAAGGATCAATTAGGAGTATTCTTGAATGATAAAATAGTGGCCACGTTGCTGCAAGCTCAAGCAAGCTCCTCAATTTACGTAACCCTACAGATTATTTGGGTGTTATTTATTCATTGAAATTTAAATGCTTGGTAAAGGTTAATTCATGTGGATGGTTGGTTGGTTGATTTGGTTGCTTAATTAAAGGAGAAGCCACGTGAGTTAATTGAAGGAAAGACAGAATTAGTGTTGCAACCGCAAACAAGAAGCCAGCTGAAGACAAGTGGGTTTCCGGAAATGAGAAGGATTCCGCGGTGCCAAGGAAAATAGCCGGAGAAGCTTGCTCGTGCTGCAGCACGTGCTATTTTGGAGTTTTTGTTTTGGTAATATAGAAGTCTAATTAGGGGGGAAATTGAGACATTTTTTACCAGTATATACCATATAGTATTAATTAGTATTGAAATAATAGCATATTTATGGTTTGAAAAGCGTATCATGGTGGTATGAACAAACCAAAACTGTAGGATGGTTGAATACATGATAGTAGAAGTATATTAACTGTCATTTACGACTTTTAACATTGTGTACCACAGATACCACTTTTAACATTGTGTACCACAGAATACCACCCCGTATCAGGGTGGTATTGTATGGTATTGTGTGGTATTTTTTGGTCCTGTAATTTGTTTACCTAGAAATTTGTAGATCCAATAGATCATATGATGAACTCGTCCCTTCTTTGCAAACGTTTTCAAAAACGAACTAAATACGAAGAAGATACCATATGGTATGCAGTTGGTACCGAGAGGCAAGATTTTTTTTTTCTAAAAAAATATTGAAAATAGATCTCATTTTGTAGAGCACGATAAACTCGTTCCATCTGTGCAAAAAAAAAAAAACGAGTTAAAACGAAGAAGATATGAGCCGATTAAGAAAGCTAAGAAAAATAAAAATGACCTTTAATTCTCCATCCTTAGATCTGGATTTTCTAAATGAAGGGTCCACAAAATACCAGTACAAAATCCGATACTGGTATTTTGTGGTTGAACCACCGGTACGATATGGTTTCATGGACTATGCTAATTAGTAGTTTTAGTTATTATTTAATATTAGTATTATGTTTCCTACTTAGTTTGGAATTTGTTTTCATATTCCTGGAAGGTTAGATTTATGCTTTTGAGATCTCTATAAATAGAGGGTGTAAGAGCTATGAATTTTGTACCCAATATTCAAGTTATCAATTAAGAGTTTTTACTCGTGTTCCTTTGTGAACGTTTGAGCAAGCTTCTGTCTAGGATTCCAGGAGATTGTACGTGTATCTTATCAACTAGAGAACGCGTCTAGTTGTGGCGAGCATCTACCCTATATCAATTTCCCCTTTTCACGAGTTGATTATGTCCGATTGGTTTAATATACCAATTGCCCTTTGTCACGAGTTGGGATTGCCCAATTGATTCCACATCTATCTTTTATTTCAAATTATTCAAGTTGGAGAAAAGCTTCGAAAATCCTTCAAAAGAAGGAAGGCTGCGTACTTTGGTCATATCATCCGAGTTCGAGAGTTCTTTTCGGATTTGGATCATATTAGAAAGCGTTTTGGTGGCCTAAAAACGTAAAACCGTAAGTTTTTAAGTTTTAAAGCGCGATTTTGACTGCATCGATTTCAACATCCATTCACCCTCCAATTTTGTTTCACTTCGAGTGGCAAGAATTGGTGGAGAGTTAACAAGCATAAACAAGAAGATGGAATGGGAAGAAAAAATGTCGAATTAGTTCTGAAATTGGATAGAAATTCTATTAAGGGGTAGTTTTCTACGGATAGAGATGATTATCGGGTGTAGGAAACTAAGAAAAATAATTCAATGAAGGAAAGACAGGTGATTTGGGCACAAGAATTAGAGAAAAAATAAAGGAAAGAAGAGGGAAGTCGAGATTTGGAAGATTGGGCTTTGAGATTCATTCTCTAGAACTAGCCTAGTTTTCATCAGCGTCTCCACTCTCCACTCTGCAGCACTAACGACTTTATTCTTTTTGTTGTTAGGTTGAGCGGGTCACCCACGCACCCGCTCACGACTCAACCGCCACTCGGCGGATACCTTCCAGCACAACCAGTCACCCACCACATAACAAAATTCAGCTAAATACAGGCAGATCGGCCCAAACCCGCATGGCCAGCCCTAGTCCTCGTAACATCTATGTTGTGAGAGGTTTATTTTTCGAATCACTTTAATTATGTTTGTCTTGTCTCCTGTATGGAGTAGTTGTCCAATTTGAAGCTGGTAATGCAAGGACAAGAGACAAGAGGTATCCAGTCAACTATTCTAATTAAGCTGATCAGCCGCAAATAATGGGGGAAAATCTGCCGAAACGAAACAAACTTATCTAGTTTTAGTGGGATGGATCGATCGAGCAGAGGAAAGAAATCTCTATCCTTTTCCATCTTTTCAGTAAAGGAGAAGATTCATCCATTCATCATTCGACCCCAATACTGCACTGCAGGACCAATCGAACTAAAGAAAGAAAACCCCAAGGGGCAAAAGAGAATCTGTTTCTAGTAAGAATACCAGTTGTGGGCGATTATCCTGAACAGGACAGGACTCCCAGTGGCAGTAGTGGTCACGTCCACTGAGGATGCCAGGTGGACCCCACGTGGCACTTATCCATTAACATCGTATGTGTCTATGCGCTTCTGTGGGCCGAGGTTGGAGAAACAGATAGATTCTGATGCTGATGCTGTCACTGTCTGTCTGTCACTGCTGCTGCTGAATGAGTGCAACTGTGTGTGTTAAGATACTTTGGGGGATGGATTAGTCTAGTCGTCTCCTTGGGTCACCCACCGAAGGCAACATGTCTGAATTTATCAAGAATATTATAACCATGGCTGCTCTGGTAGTAAGTAGCCATTAATGGAGCACAATTACTGGAACCATAATCGAAACTAATTTTGGCATAGAGAATAAGAAATCCCTATCATATCTTTGATTTCATCTGCCTTTTGCACCCATTGGTGGAGAAAGTCCAAAGAGATCTTTTGCACAATTATTTCCTAGAATCTGAATTTTTGCCACTTTTTTCCAGAGAGAGCAGGGTGTGGCGAGTTCAGTATAGTTTAGAAGGGAGGGGACTACATAAAAGGCTATAATACGAGTAGTGGTGTCTTAAAGAAATATTGAAAATATAGGAGCTATAAGTCTCCTTTCTTTCAAGATGTTAACTTTGAACCATACAAATTAACGTAATATTTTATTCATAGTATCTTCTTCTCGCTCTAATTCCTAACTTCGCTGCTGATAGTGATAATACATCACATGAGGGTACAGAAGAAGAAGAAGAAGCAGCAGCAGTACCGTGTGAAAGTCTGAAGTTATACGTGCATGTACGTAGTAGCAAACCAGGCTGTGTGTATATATAGATAGACTTGTGCTGTTCTCTTGAGATGGCATCCAAACCTTCCAAAATCTCAATCATCCCTCTCCCTTGGCCTTTGCAGCCAGTCTTTCCTTTTCCTTATTATAAAAAAATATCACGTGAATTGCTTAGCTGCTCTGCTTTTCCTCCAATTTCGTCCCCTGTGTTCCCATTACAACTTTATTTCCTCAGCCAATACCCGTTGCTTCAATTTGCCTGGTTTTCTTTTCTGGGTTGTTCCTGCTTCGCTACCTACATATATAGTCACATATTCTTTTCCTTCTTCTCCTTTGGTTCTGTTTAACAAATGGAGGGAGACAAGAAGCATGTCAGCGCTGGTGCTGCTTCTTCTTCGTCATTGGCGGCTGAACTTTTTGGGACCAAGGAGTCACCGCCCAGTTCTTCAGCTGGGGTTTTCGCTTCCATCTTCCCGCCTCCATCAACTGTAAGTATGACATAATTAGTTTCTGATTTTTCTTGTTACAGGGTTCACTTGTATAGTCTGTTGTGGAAAGTAGAATCCCAGGGATTTTCATTTTATGGTGGATTGTATTGCTTCTTTTTGCAGGTCCTGAAGAAGTCTTCCAACTCTGCGGGGGCTGGAACTTGGCACAAGTATCAGCATCACTCTGGAAAGCATGGAACAACAGGTTCGTATAAACCAGATACCTATTGAAATCTTGTCGTTTCCATTGGGGAAGAGTACTCTCACAAGCTTATAAACCATCTGTGAACAAAGCAGCAATGAATGGTGAGGCTGGAAGCTATGGCATCATGGGTCACAGCAGGGAGAGGATGGAGCCATGCCATCTGAGTTCATCGATTTACTATGGCGGCCAAGAAAACTACTCTCAGTCTCCAAGTAGCCAATCCCCTGGCTCATATCCTATCGTGAGTCTTATCCTTGACCTTGAACGGTATCATTTAGCCCTTTGTAATAACGAACTCCAACACAAGTCGACTGTTTTTGTTCAGTTCAAGAAAGATGGAGAAGAGGATGATCCTAATGGAAACAATTCCACCAGTGCTTCCAGAGGGAATTGGTGGCAAGGTTTCCCCTTTTTGTTGTGCTACTCGCTTTGTTCTCAAGACATACCTTCTACCCTCTCCTTTTCATTAATGGTGTCCTGTGTTTCTGATGATTGTTTCTTCAGGTTCTCTATATTACTAGGACCCTCGACTGCTTTGCCATGCCGATTTCCCCTTCTATTTTCCAAAGGTATGTACTTTGAATCCAAACTGCCTGCTTCCTTCAGTGATTTTGCTGATAAACTGGTATATGCCAGCTTTTGCACCTGAACCATCAATCATTACTATTATTTCCCACTGTCATCTTCTTCCATGATCACACAGATGGCATCCACTGACTGTTTCATTTTCATAGCCTGCAAGTGGTGGTGGGGTGTCCTTTCAGTATTCTTAAAAAATGGGTGTCCCAGATTCACTTACTAGTGGGGTGGAATAGAAACTGATCTTAGTTTCTGTAGTAATAGGTAGGGTTCAGAAGAGCCCCCACCCACTTGAATTTTCATTCAGAAGCATGAACATCCATTGTTTTGTTGTTGATGTTGTGATTGCAGGAATTCATGGAAATCTATGGGATATGTATGTTTGAGGTGCAAAATCAATAGTAAACTATGTGGACAAAACTATCAGCCATGGTTAAAAAAGGGACTCTTGCAAGTGGAAGAGCTGATTACGGATATGAAAAAGATATCTGCTTCCATGAAAAAGATGTACCATAAGTTGTGTGACACTCATTCTTTCTTTCCTTTCTTTTGGTCTCAAAAGGCTGCTGCTGTACATTGTTCTGCTTTTGCTAGCTTGTGAAAAGTGAAAACCTAAAACTGTAACAAACTTCTGGGCATCTCCTGCAATGTATTGTTCAAATAGTATCAAAGGTTGTATTTTGAAACTAATAGCATCACATCCTTCGTTCCTTTCTGAGCTTCTTAAACCTTCAAACTAGTAAGGAACCATGGAGACATATCAGAAGCTCAATTTTTACCCACGATATTGACAAAGATCTTGTTCATCCCTGTTCCCAGCAGTTGAAATACAAAGGAACAACCTTTCATAAGCAGCAGTCATTTTTGTAGCTGTGAAAAGCTGTAAACCTCTCTGTCTACAAGCCTCTCCTTTCTTCTCCAAAACCTCTCTTCCATCTTCCCACACTTTGGACAGAGCCTTCTTTAGTGAAGCCACAGTGGGAGAGAATGTATAACCCATCTCTCCACCCACAATCACAGAGCCAGTGATGCTAGCCACTCGTGTAGCCATCACCGGCTTGCCAGACAGCATTGCCTCTAGCAGTGTATGATCCAGCCCCTGAGCTCGAAGCGTTGGGTTAACAAAAATATCGATTGCATTGTAGAAGCTGGCAAGCTGAACATGGTCCAATGGCCCCAAAACTATAATACTACCAGCTCCCAGATCTTTGTACCTTGCAGCCCATGGACCATCTCCAGCAACCAGAAGAATAACATCATTCCGAAAGGCGCCATTCTCAGCTATCAGCTGCTTCAGCGCTTCAAACATCAAGGGGTGCCCTTTATCCTTCACTAATCTTCCAGCCATGCCTAATACTAATGTCTTTCTTCCCGGCACACCGAACTTCCTTTTGAATTCCATCCCTTTTACAGAATCAGGTTTGAAGATCTCCTCATCTACGCCATTCAGAATAACGTGAACTCGCTCTACTGGGATCATATAGATTCTTCTCAATACATCTCCAGCGTGATCACTGGTAGCAACATGGTGAGCATAGTTTTGAAAGAACCTCACCTCATCTACAACTTTCATCACTCTTTCCGCCAGTGCATATGATTGAGGCTCCTCAGGACTTCTCAGAAGCTCTTGAATAATGTCTGTGTGAACAGTCTCATAAGCTATCCCATGCCAAGTGACGGCCAAATTGGTCAGGTTTCTGGCCCTGGTATGCAGCAGTCCCACGCTTTCCGTGTGGATCACATCAAAGGGTCTGGAAGTTGAGTTCTGAAGCTGAAGCTGCTTCCAGACTATGGCTTGGTCTAAATAGCCTGCGGATGTTGGTTGGGAGAGGTGGAAATGTAAATTGGTCATCGGATACCTGGGGAAGGAGGCATTGTTGGCGGCTGTTGGTGAGGCCGTGAAAACGTGAAGCTCGTGGCCTCTTCTGGCGAGTGCCAGATGAAGAGTGAGAGCATGGCGTTCAAGCCCTCCAGCGTGAGATCTATGAGGCCATTTCTTCACAAAGAGTGCAACTTTGAGGAGCTTTGGTGGTGGCTGTGCAGAGAAAGAGAGATGATTCCAGGCAGAAGCATGAGAGAGTAGATTTATTGCTTGGCTTTGCTTCTGCCATGGCATCTGGGTTTCAGAACTGTTACATGGACCTGAGCATTGATACCAGAAGAGGAATGAGATGGATGAAATTGTGGAGAGGAGGAGAATAGTGAAGCAGAAGCAACGGAATCTGAAGATAGCCATTTGATCCTTGGCCACTGGCATGAATACTCTAATCAATGGAAATACTAATATGGAATGAAGTCAAAATCTAACAAGGGAAAACCACAATCCACCAAGAGCGAGCCACTAACGTTTGAATTACTGAGCTCTAAGGCAGATAGCTGCACATGGTTCTCAACTCTCAATTATAGGCACAAGAACCCATCAGATTTCTGCAGCAACCTGTTCAAGAACAGCTAAGGGGAAGAAAAATGGAGAGAAAGTCGAGAACCAGAAAGAAAGCAAGTGAAAGGGAGAAGCAGAGGGTTTGTGGTTAAGCAATCCATCTCATCTTGTGTTTGACTTCCCAAGATTAAAAATTGATTTTACATTGGAGCCAGCAACTAATGTATAACTAATCCAGCAAGCCACAATAGAATAATAAAAATGGGCATGTTACAGATGCTTCAAGTTCACAACTTCTAATAATCATATGTTTAGCTTAAAGGCTAGGCAGGCTCAGTTCTTGTATCCAAGGAAGCAGCAGCTTGTAAGAGGCCATTAAAAACTTGCAATAGCACAATTTTTATTTCACCATCGGTCTACTCACAGAGGCTCGTGTAATGACCGTACATAAGGATTAAGAAATCAATTGTCTATCACTGCATTCCAGCTATGGCTTACATATTCACATGGCATGTCTACAGCTAATATTGTAAACCAAATCCGATCAAGATTACAGGAACAAGCAAGAATGAAAGAGGGATTATCTGGCAGGCAAACCTAACGAGTGAAGGCATGAAGCAGAAGGAAAACATAGACAATGGACGCCAAGGGGACCAGAGTGACCAAAGGCGCAATTGCAGCAACAGTGTACAAACTCCCACAACTCAGAACCCCCAATTTGATCTGCACCAAGTTCACCAGCGCCAGAGTCAAGAACCCACATCCCAAAATCGAACCCAATCCCGAAATCAAAGTCCCCAGCCGCAGGGCCTTGAGATTGACATGAACCAGCGACTCATAGTAACCCGGTCCCAGCACATTATCAACAACAGCGGCGGCGAAATTGGTAGCGCTAGTAATATCAGCGGCGCTGTTGTCAGAGAGTACGATGGCCTGCTTGATTGCCAAGGCGACGAGGCTGGAGAAGAGGAAAGAGCTGAAGGCGTAGACGTGGAAGACGAGGAAGTCCTCGCCGGTGGAAGAGGCAGCGGCGCAGGATGGGTCGGTGACGAGAGATGCGGCGGAGCTGGAGATGGGCTGGGAGAGGCCGAGGAAGAGGGCTAGCGTGAAGAGCGAGTTGACGTTGACGATCCCGTCCAAGGCGGTGACGTGGATTTTGGTGGTGGCGGAGGGCGACATTTTTGCGGGGGAGGAGATGGATTTGGTTCTCCGCCCTTCCTTTACGTGGAGGGATTATGAAGGAAACATGAGGCAAAGTGTTGTGTTGGGAATATCATCAATCTGTGATCCGGCGCGGGAACTGTTTGGAGTTGCTTTGCGTTGAAGGGAGAAAGTGGTGGTGGTGGTGGTGGGGGAAGAAGGGCAAAGGTTTTGTGATCGGAATCGTGACCGTTGCGTGCCTTCCCTTGCAAATAGGGATGGCAACAAAACCCGAACCCACGGGTACCCACCCGACCCAATCCGGTCAACGCGGGTAAAATCCATGTTGCCGGGTTTGGGTTTAAACCCGTTCACTATTCACCGGGTTGGGTTGGGTTTGGGTTTAGGTAAACCCGGCCCGTGGGTACCCGCCCACTCATATAATTAATTTTTTCGGTATATTTAATATTCTAAACAACTAATCTTATTTATGTTTGTGGAGGCATGTCTAATTTTTTCTTTTTAATTGTGTAGAATGAAGTTGATGTTATGGAGTGGAGAGTAAAGAAACTTAATTGAAAGGAAGAAGCTTTCAATTAAACATGTTATTTATGAATAATTTGTGATTTGCTTCAATTTTCTTGAGTTTTCTAGATTGGTGTTGAACAATTTGTATAGTTAATTTGTGATTTGCTTGAATTTTCTAGAATGGTGTTTTATATATGGATAAGTTGTATTGAGAGATTGATATTTGACTTTAATTTTGATAAGAACTTGTAATTGTAAATTTTTTACGACAAAACCCGTGGGTACCCATGAACCCGCGGATACCCAACGGGTTGGGTTGGGTTTGAGTTTTTCAAACCCAGTGGGTTTTACCCCGGGTTTTTTTCAAAGATAAACCCATGGGTTTGGGTTTGGGTTTGGCAAAACCCGACCCAACCCGACCCATTGCCTGCAAAGCATTCAAATAACCGAACTCCTACTCTGTCTACAATGGAGACTACAGTAGGGAGGGTTAATTATAATCATATAATCGATTTTGGTTTGTTGTTTTAGAAATTAAATATCCTAATCTCAACTATATAATATATAGTCTCAATTTGCCCAACACATGGTTTGATCGTCAATTCGGACGGTCAACACGCCATGACATTGCCTCGTCGGCATAAAAATCATTAAAAATTCAAATTATTTTCCTAATTTCTATTATTTTTATTTTTTGGTAATTTGAAAATGGTAAATTTACAAAAAATTATCAACTTTTTTTTTTTGTTAATTTGAAAATGTTTTTAATGATTTTTAGGCTGACATGGCGTGTTGACCGTCCAAATTGACGGTCAAACCATGTGTCGGGCCAATTGAGACTATATGCTGCATAGTTGAGGCAAGGATGTTAATTTATGAAACCACATGCCAAAGTTGATTATATGATCATAGTTCGGGCCAAAATAAAGTATTAACTCTCCGGTCCCTCGTCCGCAACACGAGACCTAAACGATCCACAATCTGCTCTCTCAACTGTAAATATAAAATAATGTTAGGATAAATAACAAATTTCCTTTATATTTGAAAAAGCAAAAGAAAATCATAACTAACTTGATGAACTAGTAGTGGCCGCTGCTGGGGTGAGTGATCCGTGGGTGCGATCTAGTATGATACCAGTCAACGTAATCCTCCTCGATCTTCGATGGGTGCTCGCACGGCTCAAAAGAAAAATCCAAATCAAGACGATGGGCTGCCAAGTTATCCCACAACTGATTCGTGAACGAATCCCAGAAGACTGTGTAACTGCTGTCGGAAGCCAAACGGTACTGGTCATGTGGTACCATCATAGCACGGGGGATAATATGTCGGTATCCAAACTGGTGCAGACAACGTGCAGGATCGTATCCCTTAGCAATGTTAGAAAAGCCAAGGATCCCATTGAACAAGGAGCGCGGTATCTCTAGGTAGCCATCTCGTCCGTATGGAGTCCAGGTCACATCCTCTGCTGAAAGCTCATCCAACAAATGTCGATAACGTACTCACCTCTATCTAACATCAGCCCGACCTGGCAAAAGGGGAGAAATCCACGAGGAAGCAAGGGTTGCATCCGGAGACTGCTGTAGCTGGCTCGTGTGGCCACGCCCAGAGGTCCTTCAGAAACAAGTTGATCGCAGGAGGAAGGCGATCACGACTCTTATCCACAAAAAGTGTGGATCTTAGTAACACAAATAGGTAACACTCCACCTCCATCTCCCTAATCTTCAGCTCTCCCCCACGCACCAACAATCCCTCCGCATGCATAGAACCATTATCGTACGACTTAGACTTCCACTTATCACCAACATGAGCATCCACCGAAAGTTGAACTAGACCACCCATGTCTGACTTAAGAATATTCGGCGACGCCTCATCTCTCATAAGCTCTCCATCAACCGGACTACGAAGAATGTGATTCACATCGTGTAGAAGGATCGACATCTCTCCAAATGGCATGTGGAAGGTGCTTGTGTCAGACTGCCACCTCTCCACAAATGCCGACAGTAGAGTCATGTCTAAATGCTGCATCATGCACCCTATAAAGTTAGATAATCCTGTGGCATCAACCATCTCCTGGGAACCCTCTGCACAGACTGCACTCCACTTATATCGCCTCAAATACTCTAGAGCTTTCGGCCTATGGAAGCCGTTCAACACTCCACGGTCCTGCTCAGGGGAAGTCCACACTACAAAGCCTATGTGACCCCCAAAGCTAGGGATCACATCGGGAATCATTGATCCTCTTAAACACATCTGAGACTCCGATGTAAGAAACCACGACATATTTTTCCTCGTGGTCTTCCTCTTCCTATTTCCATCTCCGCCTTCCTCACTACTAGGTCTGGCCGCATAATGTCCATCGGGCCCACGAAAGTTTGAGGAGCCAGTAGAAGATATCCCGAATCGTGCCGTCTTCCTCACACCTAAATCTACTTGAGGTGGGTCATCCCCAACCTCAGCATCACCAACATCACCCTCATCATCATTATCCTCATTAATGGAATCGCTCCAATTAGCCTGTCAAGCCGGCGTGTCCTTCGGTCTAGGATTACTGGTAGTACCTCGACTAAGAGACAACTACCCCATAGTAGGGTGGCCCTTAGGGCGCACTACTTCCTCCTTCTTCTTCCTCCTTCATTGACTGCGGTTTACCTCGACCACTACCTTGTTTCGATCGTATTCTTCGGCGACGACGAGCAGGAAGGCGATGACGATGGGGATGGTTTGCGGGGTAGGGCAAGCTGACGACGACGTTGGGGACGGGCGCGCCGGGGAGAGATTCTGCAAGGAGACTCGGGGCACCGAGACAGGTGGTTGGCGATGACGACAATAGGGGCGCACCGGCCTGGTGCGTCGGGAGAGGTTGGAAGGATAACAGGGCACGCCGGACTGGTGCGCCGGCGGAATGGGGTTCGCTTGACAGGTGCACCGGTGGAGGTGGGTTCGCTGGTTGGTGCGCGAGGATGTCAGAAGAGGTGAAAGGTCGGCGGCCAGGATGTTGGAAGAGGTGGAGGAAGGTAGGGTTTTAGGAGTTAGGTGATGTTTGGTTGTTTGAATTTTGAATTTTGAAATTTAATTATGGGTATATAGGTAATTTAATATTTAAGTTAGGGCGACAGTTAGCTATTTAAAGGGCGATATTTAGTGATTCAGTTTTTAAATATCCAAATCCGTACCCGTCTCATACTCATGCGGCCTGTGGGTTTCGAGTACTCGTTGGTAATACCCGCCTCGTATATCGAACATTATTATACCTAAGACTTTACATATAAATTTTCAAATATAATACTAAATGGATCTATTATATCATGAAGTCAACAAAGATATAATAATTCTTAATACGGTTCAAACTATATAATCCTAAAACATCCATTAATCCATAAGATACAGTATAATATTTTCCAAATTATTATTCTCTAACTCTGATACATCTATTAAGTAATAAGTAGGGTTAATACCTTAGTTTGGCCCGAACTATAGACAAACTTTCTACTTTGGCCCATGGTATCGGAAATTGCTATTCTGGTCTAAACTATGTAGCATACTTTCTTATTTGGCCCGGAGGCGGGTTTGACCGTCAAATTAGACGGTCAACCGAGTTGACCGTTAGTCAAGGTCCACCTCACTTGCCACATCAGCTATTAGGGAATAAAAAATTAATTTTGAATTTTGAATTTTTTTTACTTTCTAATAATAAAAATAATAAATGAAAGAAAATTAATTAAAAAAGCTCCCCAAATTATTTTTATTTAATTTTAGAAAGTAAACAAAACTCAACAATTCAAAAAATAATTATTATTTATTCCTTGATAGCTGACATGACAAGTGAGGTGGACGTTGACTAACGGTCAACTGAGTTAACCGTCTAATTTGACTGTCAAACCCGCCTCCGGGCCAAATAAGAAAGTATGCTACACAGTTTAGGCCAGAATAGCAATTTCCGATACCACGGGCCAAAGTAGAAAGTTTGTCTATAATTCGGGTCAAACTAAGGTATTAACCCTAATAAGTAACTAACATAATTATCTTGTTAATTTAAAGAAAAAGTGAAATAATCCTCCGCCTAAATTGCTGCGCTACGTCACAGTCCCGGCTCAAAAGGAGAATTGAAGGAAAGAAATTATGTTTTTATTTGGATGACTACTCAATTGTTTTTCTACTATTTATGTTCTTAAGTTACATTATCATTGATAGGTTACAATTTAATCCATATACTTTATATATGTGAAGAAATATTCTCGGTGGGACGGGTATTGGTATGGATATGGGGCGAGGGAAGCTAAAACCATACCCGTCCCATAACCAGTCCAATGCGGGGATTCCCTACGTTCACGGGATCGAGGACGGTCGGGTACCCGCGATCATGGGTTTGATTGCCATCCCTAGACTGGAGAGTACCAATTTTACTTATTTTCAGTTCTCCTCTATTTTGGTTGGTTTAAGCTAAAATGGCTTGTTGAAGACTGTTTTCATTGTAGGTTTCCGCCGATCTGGTCCAATAAACCGTTCTGATAGTGGTTTGACAACTTTATACAATTATCTATAAGTCATAAATCAGGGCAAGGAGCTAATAAAAGTACATGTAAAATCAGTAGCAAATTTGATAAATAGAACAGTTTGTAAAGTTTCAGTTTCATAAAAAATCACTGTTCATATTTATCGAGTCTAATAATTTTGGAAACATTTCCA